TATAATCTTATAATCATTCTTATAATCTCATAATCACGCTATAATTCTTATAATCTATACTCAAAAGTACACGGCTGAGGCGAGTTGCAGACCCCTCGTGGATACAAAATTGTCTTTTCCCATTTAATTTAAGCTGTGCAAATCACCAACACCGAAAAGTAGTATTACTGGCGCAAGAAATGCGATTGAAACCTGCAAGAAATAATCAAAGTCCTATTCTACTTGGTGTACAAAGTAAGCTAGCCCGCTCGCACGTCTGAATCCGGTATAGTGTAACTAGCAAAAAAGGACAGCGCAGATCACCCACCCTTAATTGTTTCATACCGCAAAAACGAACTTTGGTTCACAGATAAAAATCTGATAAAACGTTATTTATTTCAAACTTCACTTCACTCCCCCAGAACTGAAAATGTTATCTAGGAGGCAATAAGAAGTTGAAAGAGCGAAAACGATGTAAGAGGAAAAACCAAAGCACCACACACAATGGAAACCCAAGTGCGTTAATGTCGTACACTTATAGGTGTGTGAATTTCCATGCGTACACTTGCACGATGAATGATTGAATGTTTCGCTAAATTTCACACATCTATCCCAACAAGTGAACGAACGGAAATTCACACACTTGGGTCAGCTGTGGGTGGATCGCTGACCTCTACCTCCATCACCTGGACCACTCGTTCGGCCGGAGACTGGGCCCATAGTCCAGAGCAGCGCCACCACCGCCTTAGCAAGCGGAACCACTTTTTCTTGGGCCGGCCGGCGCGAGGACGTTGTTACGCGTGTCGGGCAGAGACGGGGCGCGGGACGGGACGAGCGTGACATCGACGTGACATCGGCCGCGCTCACTTTTTGGCCGGAGTCGATTTTCCACATTACTTTCTCCGTCGGGGCCCCGCCCTGGCTGCCCCGCCCTCCGCGCCACGCCGCTGGACACAAATATGCGGGTAAGTGGCCGGCAGCCCGCCCCGCGCCCCGCCGCGCCCAGCAGCTCACCGCTCACCGCGGGAACGACGTGAGCCAGGCTTAGCGAACGGTGGGAGAGCTAAATATTTAGCCTCCTGCTGCACAAAATAAAATTGTAAGGTATCGTGCACCAATGTCACTAACAATTTGCTGCGCTGCGAATAAAATTTTAAACCATCTCCGTCTTTCACTCATTAACCAAAAGTAATGTGCAACCAGTAAACACTTGTAACCAATGTGCAACTCCAAGTTGTGCACTTGCAAGTATGGAACTCGGTAGTGTATCCCGCACAGTGTGAGGCCTATGCAGGGTGGGTTTCAGACCCTTTCCCTGCTTTGGTTATACTGTGCCGCGTGCAGCGGTGCATCTCCTCATGAGGACCGACTTGCCTACCGTCGTTTACCGTGCCGCCTTATTTGAGGCAACCCACCCACACGCGGTACGGTGGGCAGTGACACACGGGAACATAGCTACTAAGTTGAACACTGGATTGTGCACAAGTAGGAGTTGCACACAAGTATGTACCGGTTGCACATGTAATTTATCAGTATTCTCATCTTGAATTATTATTATGCTAGGAAAAATATCTTTAAAATTCTCAACAAGCTTAACACTGAAAAACATATCTGAATTAACGACAATCTTCTATCAGCAAGAAATATTCCTATCGATGCTAACAGATAAAAATATTGCAATAAAATGTCTCATCGAGGAATGTCATAACTTGCCGAATAAAGTCTCGTACACCTGTTGGAAACTTAAAAATCGAACATGGTTCTGCAATTTTGAAGTTTCAACGCGAAGTTCTGCAGTACACGGGGCATGTTTTTCCTATCATTAAAAAATCCCAAGATAAAATTCCGCAGGGGGGAGCTAGTCTGCGCTGGGCGAATGATCGGCTGTGAGACGTAAAAATGAAACCGTGCCGCCGCGGCCCGTTCTTCGCGCGCCCGCTCCAGCGGCTCCAGCACCCGCTCCAGCGCCCGCTCCAGCGCCACACCGCCCAGGACTTAGATGTGGCGTGGCGAGGAGTGGCGCCCCGCGATCCGTTAAATAAACTGAGAAAGGCTCTCCTGGCCAGGCACGCCATTCCAAGAGCCACACCGGCCGAACGAGACCTCGATACAAGGCTCAAACATAAACAAGACCTGCTGGCTACACTGACAAACGGAAAAAAATGTCATGCAGGAAGGGGGAAAGAAGAGGTTCAAAAGAACTCCGTTCTGTCCAAACATTGACACCCAGAGAGAGAGAGGTCACGTACTAGCGGCCGCACCTGCTGTTTGGAAAGGCGGTCGGCTGACCTACCAGAGAAAGACACACTGGAAAGGGGAAAAAAGAATTGTTC